GCTGGCTCTCAGCTGAGGGTCATTCCCCGCTTCTACAGGCTACTGCATTCCTTGGCTCGTGGTCCCTTTCCTCCATCGTCAAAGCCAGTAATGGCAGGTCAGGTCCCTCTCATGCTTTGAATCCCTCCTGCCTCTTCTTTCAGCCTTGCATCTCTTTCACTCACTCTTTTGCTTCTTTTGCCTTTAAGGGTCCGTGTGGTTGTGGGCCCACCTGGGTAATGCAGGATAATATCCCTATTGAGGTCAGCTAATGAGAAATTTTAATTTCATCTTCAAAGTCATTTTTTCCATTTAAGTAACATATTCACAGGTTCAGGGGATTAGAACACAGGCATCATTTTCAGCCTACCATAGGAGTGCAGGTCCCATATGATAAATCCAGGCCAATACATCTATCTCCCTCAGCCTTCGGATTCTCTCTTCCACATTGTACCAGGGCAGCTGGGACGTCTCAGTCTCATTAACTTCAGGCCAAAGTTGAGTCCAGGTTTCAGTTAAGGTGTTAAACTACCTCTAGCTGCTCAAGCTGAAATATCAAATCTTGTAATTGTGGTAAGTGCACCAATACCAGGAAGTTCATCCCAATTTGTAAATGTGCTCTCCTTGACTTTAAAATCTGCTCCCACATGTGATGCCCAGGCTTTCCCTGATATATATACATATTAGCAAAGCCTTGAAATTTCTTGGTGTGTGAGCCATTTCCTCCTGAACTGCAGTATGTAACTCCCCATGGAGTGGCTGATATTTGACCTGGTTTTGTGTCTACAGCAATGGGATATTTTTGGTGGGTCTTGTGGAGAATGGGCATCTGTCCCCAGTGAGGTGATGAGAGGTTTTCAAGCAGAGGAGGGCTCGTGTCCTCAGATACTGGAGAGCAAGCTACTTCTGGTAAGGGAGTGTCAGAGTTACCTGGGGATTCAAGATTGTTATTTTTGCCTGGGTCTAATCAGATGTTCTCATTCCAAGTCTCCTTGTATTCTTGAACAACCAGTGCCCTAATTTTCACATGATAAACTTGGCAAGACTATGATTTCAACTGATATAAATCAGTTACGTGCACAGTCGAATTTTGTGTTTGATTTTCAGCCACATCAGCCCTAGCTACAAGAAATTAAATTGTTTTAGGGCTGTCATGAAAACTCTGCTTCTCAGCTTGAGCTGAGGGCTTAAGAACATGAATGTTTTGTATTCTTTCTGTACGTGCTCTGGTGGGCTCAGGACGCTCGGTCCCATGCCATAGTCCTTGCAGTTGTCATTGCCATAGAAGTTAAGTGCAGGAGCCTTGGGCTCCCAAGGCGTGTGCTTCAGTTGGCACTTCATCACAATCAACCACAGGTGACAGCTTGTGTAATTGATAGACGGTGTGCCCTGGGTTACCAGCATCCTAGTTCCTGTTGGCAGGCAGCTCTGCCTTGTGCTCAAGCCCAAAGACACAGCCAAGCCAACCTCAGTCTTCACAGGCTGTCTTCTGGGACCATTCCCAGCACCAATTCTGTATGTATTTGGGTCCAGTAAATAGAGAGGAGCCACACAGTGCTTTGAATAGGGAAAGTTTCATATATGGCCAGCACAGTGCCTTTGCAGATCGGTCCAGCACTGACCTTCTCTGCATATGACATGAGTCACACACTTACCCTTCGGTGTCACATAGAATACCAGCCTCTGTTGCAGTAGCTTTTTTCACGAGACCAGACACATTCCTCTTCACAGTGCTTGCTGTTGGCAGCCAAGGCCTTCCTGAAGCCCTTTGCAGAGGAGTGACTTGGAGACCCTGACGACTCCTCCCTCTTCTGTTCCCCATCTTTGTATCCTCATCCTTGTTGAGGTCTCTCACATTCTGTTGTCTAGCTGGGCCTGGGCCTGCAGGGCCAGCCCTTCTGTCCAGACCCTTCCCCCCAGAACCTTCCAGCAATCCCATGGACTCCTTCCTGAGGGTGTTGACATGCATTAATGAGGACGGGGCCTCCTTCTGCAATCTAACACTGTTAACTGGCATTTCTCTGTGTTCGGGTTGTCTGTGCTTCACCTCTTGAGCAGGTAAAGAGCTGCAGGGCCCACCCATCAGAACGCCCTTTATGTGTGGGGAGTGTGGCAGTTTTCCAGGCCAGCTTGGGCCTCGTCCAGCAGTGGGCCACTCCCGGTATGGGGAGCTACAGAGGAGCACTGTGAAGACTGTCCCTCACAGCTCCTGCCTCAGGTAGCACCCAGGAGTCATGTGGGACGGAAGCCCTTCAAGTGCAGAAATCTTTCCTGAAGAGCTCTGCCCTCGTCAACTGCCTAGAAACTCACACTGAATTGATTGAGCTCCTGTAGGGTGGACATGCCTTCGAGGAGAAATCAACTCACTACTCAGAAAAATTCACACGGGAGAAACATCCTTTATGTGTGAGGAGGTGGGAACGCCTTCAGTTGCACTCCAAATGGAGCACATGTCAGTTTACACACTGTACACCAGGAATTGACACAGCATTGTAAACTGACTATATACTTCAACTAAGAAAAGAAGTTCATACAGAAAGAAAATATTACAAGTGCAGTGAATGTGGGAAGACATACCGCCACAAATCCACATTTGTTCAGCACCAGGGAATTCAGGAATGCAAGGCCTTATGAATGCAGCAAATGTGGAAAAGCCTTCATCCTCATATCTACCCTCATTTGGCACCAGAAAGTTCACTGGGGAAAGGCCCTATAAGTGCACTGAACATGGGAAATTCTTTAGTCAAAACTCTAACCTCATTGGACACCAGTGAGCTCACACAGTAGCAAGGCCTTATGAATGCACTGAATGTGGGAAAGCCTGCAGCAGAATCTCATCTCAGCTGGCACTAAAAGGTTCATGTGAGAGAAAAGCTGTAAGATTGCCACCATCATGGGAACCTTCATTGAAATATCCACATGTAATTGGTACCGGAAAGCTCTGGATACAGAAGGGCCTCGTATGTGCAGCCCTTGTCTGAGAGCTTCTACCTACATCTCCCAGCTTAACACCAGATATTGTCTGAAAGCCTTCAGATATAGTTGCACCTCATTCAGCACCAGAAAATTCACAACCCCAAAAAGGACTTATGCAGTGGATGTGGAAGATCTTTCCGCCAAAGTACCAAACTTGCTCTATATGCAAGGTTTCACACCATAGAAAATCTTCAGTGCAGCCAAGGTAGGAAAACCGTTAATTGCACCTCCACTGTTATCCAGCATCAGACAGTTCACACTGGAGAAAGGCCTTAGGAGTACGATGAAAGTGGGAGAGCCTTTGGCCATGGCTGTCAACCTTGTTTAACCTCGCAGCAGAGGTTGAGGATGTAGACATTGCAAGGGAGCCATCTGTGGAAATTCAGCTTTGTGCTAGTGTTGCTGTGAACAAATGACCACAATTGCCAACACACTCATTTGTTAGCTCAGTTCTGAGGTCAGAATTCTGGCATGACATGGCTATCCTCGGCTCCTGCTGAGATAAAGGTACTGGCTAGACTGAGTCCTTTCTGGAGGTTCTGGAGGGAAATCTACTTTCATGATCACTTTTTGTTGGCAAAATTCACTTCCTTGTTGTTGTAGGACTGTGATCTCTGTTTCATTGCTGGTCCTTAGCTGAGGAAGACTCTCAGCTCCTACATGTCACCTACTTTCCCTGATATGTGGGCCCTTTCATCTTCTAGCCAGTAATAGCGGATCAGATCCCTTCCGTACTTGGAGTCTCTGACTTCCTCTTCTGCTGACAATTGGAGAAAACTGCTTTTATAGGGCCTGTGTGATTAGATCAGGCCCACTTAGATAATCTACATTTCTGAATGTCATCTGTGCCACGTAGCAACCTAATCATGGGAGTAAAGTCCATCATATTCAATCTCATGGATTAGGTTGGAAGAGTCTTGACAGCCATCTTAGAATTCTGCCTACTATGCTTGTATGTTCTAACAGTCCTACTGGGGAGATTCCTGTAAGTGCTGGGTATGTGGAAAATTTTCCAGAGCTAGTGATTGGCCCTGGGCCAGGGCCTGTGGTAGAAACCATGTAACCTCTACCAGCTGCCACAGTGAGGATCAGTCACCCAGCATGCTCAGGGAAGGAAGACCTTGGTGCAGTCCTTTCCTAGAGGGAATCCTGAGTGGCCTGAGCCCTTTAGGGGACTTCATGGCCTCCTCACTGATGGTTTAGGCATGGATGTGACCCACCCTTGGCCAAGAGGACCTGAGCTGGGGTCTGCTCAGGGCTTACAGAGAAGGTCTTTTTTTTTTTTTAAGTTTCTTTTTTTGGGGGGTAGGTAATTAGGTCTCTCTTCTTGATGGATGTTGTTCACCCCACACGTCATGCCCATGTGACAGCTGTCTAGCTTCCAATTCTTCCAGCCCAGGAACTGCCTGCCTCATACCGCCCTGGATTGTGTCATGATAAATGGCTTAAACCATATTTAACCCTGGGGTTTCTGTTCATTGTGTAGGATGGACTGAGAACAAAATTGGGCACTGCTGGTCTGAAGGAGAGTGAAGACCTTTGATGGGAAGTCTTGACACTGCTTCAGAGGGGGGACAGCAGGATGGTAGCGAGCAGGTCTAAATTCAGGTTTGGTCTTATTTGTTTTGCTGCCTAAGATCTCCTTGCAAAGAATGAAGACCTCTGTGGGCCAGATCTTGTGGCCAGAGTGTCAGGGCTACATGTTGGACCTAGAGCTCAAAACTGATCATAGAGTTAAGTGTGAAGCACAAAACTACATCTTCTAAAAGATAACAGGGAAAAAAATCTAGGTGACTTTGAGTTCGGCATTTAGATGACTTTTAGATACAACACAAAGAGCATGATCCAAGAAGAAAAAAAACCGGTTGGACATCTCTAAAATTAGAAGTTCTGCTCTGTGAAAGTTACCATGAAAGAGAATGAAAAGACAAGCCCTGGACTAGGAGAAAATATTTGCAAAACACATCTGATAAAGGACTTTTATACAAAATACACCAAAAAAACCCCTCTTAAAACTCAACAATAAGAAATCAATTTCAAAAGGGCAAAAGATCTGAAGAGACACCTCATGAAAGAAGATACACAGCTGGCAGATCAGATGAAAATACTCTCAATGTCATATGCCATCAGGGAATTACAAGTTTAAACAACAATATCACTACATATCTATCAGAATGGCTAAAGTCCAAAATACTGAGAACAGGAGGAAACAGAACTCTGATTCACTGCTGTTGAGAATGCAAAATGGTACAGCCACTTTGGAAGACAATTGGGTAGTTTCTTACAAAGTTAAATACAGTTCTGTCCTATGACCCAGCAATCACACTCCTAGGTATTTATCGAAATGTGTTGAAAACATGTCCATATAGAAACCGGCACATGAATGTTTATAGCAGTTTTATTCATAATTGCTTATAACTAGACTCAAAATCAGATGCCATTCAATAGGTAAACGGATAAAGAATCTGGACATTCACACAATGCAATATTATTTAGCAATAAAAAGAACTAAGCTATCAAGCCACAAAAAGGGAGAAATCTTAAATGCATATTCCTAAGTGAAGAAGTCAGTCTGAGAAATGTACATTCTGTATAATTCCAACTCTGACATTCTGGCTATGGTAAAACTGTAGAGACAATACAATAGTGGTTGCCAGGGACTTGGGGACCGGATGAATAGATGGAGCACGGGGTTTTTCATGCAGCAAAACTATCCTGTATAATACTGTAATGGTTGACATGTGACATGCATTTGTCAAAACCCATAAAATTACAGTACAAAAGGTGAACTCTAGTGTAAACTATGGATGTTAATGTATAAATGTGGGTTGTGACAAACATACCACACCTTAACAGTAGGGGCAACTGTGCAGGGAGAGATAGGGAATATGAAGACTCTACCATCTGCTCAATTTTCCATAAACCTTGAACTGCTCTTAAGTATTAAAACAAAAAATAAAAAACCTAGGGTAATACTGGTGTCAGGGAAAAAAATATTCTTTCTAAATAGTGGACAGAGCGTCTCTGACACCATCAACCACATGCTCACCCTCCTCTGCTAGACCCCAAATCTGAGAAGAGCACGGACTGTAATGGGGTAGGTATAAGCCTACCGTCCCCAGCGTAAGTTCAGGCCAGACCTGTGTGAGTCCAATGACCGGTAGGTACGTCGCCTTCACCGTGGGGCACGGAAAACGCAACCCATCTGAAAAACAAACGCTGATCTTCCCCACACCTGCCGAGCTCCCCCAGTTGTTGGTGCTCCAGCTGCTCACTAGACTCGGGTCAGGGGTGCCTTTCTGAGTCTCCGTCTCCTGCTCCGTTAAGTAAACACAAACCCAAGGGCGACTTTCTGACGGCCGCGGGCACGGATGGGCTTTGGCGGAGGGCGGGCAATCGCCGCGGTCACCGCGCGCACAGGGTGTGGGGGGACCTGCCAGACGCTCGTGTCTTGCTCTCCTTTGCGCGGGCCCGGGGAGCCCCCAGGAAGCCTCCGGGACGCCATCTCCCGCGCAGCGGCCCTGACTCTCCGCCCCGCGTTGCTCCAAAGCAACGGCGAAGTCCGGCGCCGGAAGTTCCTGCCCCGCCGGCGCAGCTCTCCCGGAAACGCCCCTCTGCTGGGCTGTCTTTGGCGGTACGGGCGCAGTGCAGCCCGTCGCTTATGGGGAACGTAGTTCGTGCGCGCCGCGAACGCGGTCACAGGTGACGCGGAAGCCCAGTTAACGGAGGTCTGCGGGCAGAGACACCACCCGACAGCGCGGATGGGGCGGGGCTTCCGGCGCTGCAGGCTGTGCGCGTTTTGCCGCGGCTGGTGGTCGGTGCGAGAGTTTTCAGGGCTGCGCTGGCACCGCCGAGACCACCCTGGCGCGGGGACGCGCAGGGACCCTCGCCGCGCGTTAGCTCGCGCCGTGACCCCGGGGCATCACTCCTCCTTCCTGAGACTCGCTGTCGCCCTCTGAGAACCTTCGGCAGCAGCCGACTTCTGCGCGCAGGGCGGGGTGGCGAGTAGGGATCTCAGCTGCGTCCGCGGAAACTCTCTGCCCACAAGTTCTGATGGCAGAGGAGGCGCAGGTGAGTGGGAGGTGTCAACTTGGCTCTGCCACCCGCATCCCCAGCTGGCAGGTCCCAACTCGGAGAACCCGGGACGGGTGAGGAAGGCAAGACAGGTGAAGGGACAGACTATGCAAAGGCAGAGAGGGAGGAGGGCCGTAGGTCCCGGAGCTCTGTGTGTGGTTCCCGGCGGCTAAGGGTTTAAGGGTGGGGAGGTGGAAGATGCCCTTGGCAGGGAGCCATTGGAGGTGTGGGGAGGACGGATGAGATTGTGCTTGCTCTCCGTGGTAGCAACTCTGGAGACACCATGAGCAGAGTGGCATGCGCAAGTTGCCAGTGGGGTGGACTGGTGAGGTTGTGCTGGGCACGTGGAGGTGTACCATAATGCAGTAGAGCTATGTGTCTGGCGTGCAGAAGGCAAACTGGAGGGTCCTGGGACCAGGTACTGAGACCTGGGAGAGAATGGTGAGCATAGGTTTGGTTGCTTCTGAAGGGTGATATCTGGGACGGAGAGGGAACAGATTGGCAGGAAATGGGGTGGGACCTGTGTGCCTGACGAGGTACATAGATGGCATCTGCCTAGTCACCAGCCTGTTGTGGGCTGGATGCAGAATTTAATAGTAACAGGAGGAGAGAGGCATTAATGGTACTAGGGACCCTGGGAATCCTCTGGGATAGGGGCCTTAGGAGGAGGGCGGGATGAGGGTATGTTGGCGGAGGGTAGGGGAGCGGCTTAAAGAGAAAGATGTCAGTCAGAGATGTGCCTGGACCCTGAGACACAGGTCAAGGGGCTGGGTGTGTTTCTCTGTCCTTGATTTGGTTGGCTTTTTACTCATCATTGACCCTAAGGTTCAGTTGAATCCATCATTTCAGGGTCTGGTGACTTTTGAGGATGTGGCTGTGTATTTCTCCCGGGAGGAGTGGGGCCTTCTTAATTTGACCCAGAGGAGCCTATACCGTGATGTGATGCAGGAGAACTTCGCACTCGTTGGCTCATTGGGTAAGTTTCACACTCTCCCCCAGCAAACTGACCACCTCTGCCCTTTCTCCATGTGAAGTTCTGTCCGCCCTAAAGCCCACAGAGGCTGCACAGCTCTTCCTCTCCCTGTCTTTGAGCAGCCCTGTTAGTAGCCTCAACACTTGTTGCCCCACGGCTTCCTGGAATAGGGCTTGGGGTTCAGATTTTTACAGTTTGCCCAGCAAATCCCACCAGCTCTGCCTCTCTCTGGCAGTAGGACTCTGCTGAAGCTGGGACCCCTCTGTGCTCTGGGTTTTGCATTCTTCCGCCAAAAGAAATTTTATAGAGTCCTCCCTGAGCCAGGTGTGAACCGTGAATTCACATTAATAGATCAACTTGGGCAGCATTGCCATTTTAATATCCATGAATGTGAGATGTTTTTCTGATTGTTTAACTTAACTCTGTTTTTAACAGCATTTTCAGTTTCCAAGGCTAAATTTATTTCAAAGTATTTTACTCATTTTGATGCTACTTTAAGTGGAATTATTTTCTTAATTTCATTTTAGGTTGTCCATTGCTAGTGTATAGAAATGTATGTTTAACGTCATACCGTTTGTGAGTGGAGCTGTTTTCACCTCTTCTTTGCTGAAGTGACTTGGCTAAAATCTCTAGTACTTTATCGAATAGAGGTTGTGAGAGTAGACATCCTAGTCTGGTTACAAATCTTATGGGAAAAGCATTCAGTTTTTCACTAATTAATGTGATGTTTTTTAAAAAGTTTTAAACTTTAATCAATTTATTAGTTTTTGAAATTAAAAGCTTGTCATTGCATTTATACCAAGACATGCTACCCATTACTTACAGGTGCGTGATGTTAGCAAGAAACCAGCTTAATTAATATGATGTTAACTGTAGGTTTTTTTCATATGCCTTTTTCGGGTGAGGAAGTTCCCTTCTCTTCCTTGTTTGTTGATTGCATTTATTATGAAAAGTTAATTTTTGTCTGATGCTTTTCCATGGCTATTGAAATGATCATGTGATTTTCCCTATTCTGTTGACATGGTATATTACAGTAGTTGATTTTCATGTTTAACTTTGCATTGCTAGGGTAAATTTTTTTATCCTAGGCTTATAATCTTTGTATATTTTTGGATTCGGTTTGCTGGTATTTTATTGAGGAATTTTGCATCTATATTCATAAGAGTTGTCAATGATGTAGTTTTCTTTTCTTGTAATGTCTTTGTTTGGATTATGACAGTAATTTTGGCTTCAATGAATAAGTTGGGAAATGTTCCCTTCTTTTCTATTTTCTGGAAGACTTTGTGAAATATTGGTATTAATTCTTATTCACTTATTAATATGCATCGGTGAAGACATCTGGATCTATCTTTTTTTTCCCCCATGGGGAAATTTTTTAAAAGTCTATTCAGATGTTTTACTTCTTCTTGAGTCAGTTTATCTCAGCTCTTTTTTATTTCCTTCCTTCTTCTAGCTTTGAGTTGCTTTGCTTTTCTTTCTTTCTTTTTTTTGTTCCTTGAAGTGTAAAGTAGGATACTGGTTTGAGATCTTTTTTAATATGTGTTGTGACATAATAAGAAATATATATTTTGGCTTTGTTCTCAGCTCCTTGGCATGCAGATCCTAAAACACTTGGAATCTCTAGAGTGATCAGATGCTAATTGTATGCTAATGGGTTGATGGTAGCTGGGCACCTCTAGATAGCTTCAGGATGGGGAGTGGTCACCAGAAAGACCAAGGCATAATTGGGAGGTTGGATTTTCAGCTATCCTCAACTCCTCCTCTCCACCTCCCTACCCTGAACTCTGGGAGAGGGAAAGGGACTGGAGATTGAGCCAATCATCAACAACTGGTGATTTAATCAGTCAGACCTATGTGTTAGAATATCCATAAAAACTCCTAAATGACTGGTTCAGAGAGCTTCTGGATTACTGGACACATTGAGGTGCCAGGAGAATGGTGCTGTCAAGGGCATGGACACTTCTTACCCCCTATATCCTCAATCCCAACCCCTGTCATACCTTGACCTTTGCATCCCTTCTGTTGGGCTGTACCTGAGTTGTATCCTTTAAAATAAACTGGTAATAGCGAGTTCTGTGAGTCATTTTAGCACATTATTGAACCTGAGGAGGAATCAATAATTGTGGGGATCCCTGATTTATAGCCAGTTCATCAAAAATACAGGAGGACTGGGACTTGCAACTGATGTCTGAAGTTCAGGCAGTTCTGTGGGACTGAGACCATAATCTGTGGGATTTGATGCTAATTTTAGGTAGTTGGTGTCAAAATTGAACTGAATCCTTGAACACCCAGTTGGTGTCAGAGTTGGAGAAGTGGTGTGGAAACAACCGTTCCCTTCTACATTTGGTGTCAGAGGTGTTTCTGTAAATTTCCCTCTAAGCACTGCTTTTTCCCATAACTTTTGGTTTGTTGTGCTTTCTCTTTCATCTCAAAATGTTTTGTTATTTTCCTTGTGGTTATTTAGGAGTAGTTTATTTAAATTCCATAAATCTGTGAGTTCCCCAACTGTCTTTCTGTTGTTGATTTCTATTTTAATTCCTTTGTGGTCAGAGAACATTCTTTGTATATCAGTTCTCCAGAGTCTTTTGAGACTTGTTTTATGTCCTAGCAAATGGTCTGTTCTGGAGAATGTTCCATGTGCATATGAGAATGGAGGAAAACGTGTATTCTGCTGTCGTTAGGTGGAATGTCCGTAGCTGTCTGCTAGGTCTAGTTGATATTTAGTGTTAGTCAAGTGTTATGTTCTTGTTCCTTTTCTGCCTAGTGCTTCCATCCATTACTGAAAGTTGGAAATCAAAGTCTCCAACTATTATTGTCTATTTCTTACTTTAATTATGTCAGTTTTGCTTCATAGGAGGTTCTTTCTTTTAATAAAAAATTGTAGTTAAAAAAAACATGAGAT